TACTTGAAAATAGCAAGTTTGGGCTCAGTTTGGTAAATAGTCTGATTTGACTTGAACTGAACTAGAGTCTATTCTGATATATGTGCTTCCTCCTTTTGAAAGCAACAGTAAACCGGAAATAGTTGTAACTTTTTACTTTTCAAAAGAATTTTTTACTTTTCAAAAGAATTTTTTACTTTTCAAAATAATAAATATTAGGATTGCCCACTGCTTCATGAGCAGATCCTCATTTTAAAGAGTCCAGACCATCTTGTATTGATCCAAAGAATAATTTGTTTTAATATGTTGTGATTCTGGAATAGTATTAAAGACAACTGAAGCTTTGTTTGCTCCTTATCTAACATGGAATACATTTAAATTGGAAATGGCATCTACAAATTTGTTTCTTTTTATTTTAATGGTACAAAGTTCGAAGAACATTAGAACATTGTTAAGGGATGAAGTCAGCCACGTGCTATAGTATAGTAGGTTATTAAAATGTTAGGTCCATTAATATTTTGCTTTTCACCAGAACAAAATGAAATCTATTAGGAAGTATAGACGTTATGAGGGTTGAATATTAGTATTATCTGGTAGTCCTTTGGGTTCAAAGAAGATACGCTGTTGTGCAGTTCATCTTTAGACACAGAGGTGGCTCTGCAGTCCGAAACTGGAAGTGCAGAGTCTAGCACAATGGGGGCACTAGAAGTCCATTGTTGTAGTAATTGTAGTGTTACTCTGTGATGCTGCTCACATTTTTCTGTCAGTTTTTGGTGGTGCCTGCCTTCAAAGTCAGTGAAGGCTTCATAGCACAGGGCTCATCAGCAGGTTCTGTCAGCAGCAGTCGCAGTTTCTAGTTCCCTTGGCTGAATGTCACAATTTTATACTTAATCTGTTCTAGTCTTAGAGATATACAGACAGACAAGGTACTGTTCCAAAGCCTTTAAAGACTTTGAGGTCTATTCTACCAAAACGACTTTAAGATTTAATAATTTCTCTTGTAACCCATATTAAGCTTTCATTTCTCATTTTGAGTAGCAATAAGCCAGCTTCATTTTGACATCATGGACTCATGGAGTAATGTAATGAATGAGCCACAAATTAAACTTGATGAAAAATCATTCTCCAGCTAATGAAGAATACATTTATTCAATGTTAGTTGAACACTAAGGAAACAAATCAAGATTTAGGTATCTTTCTAATGCAAGTTTTTTATAGAAAAGGAATTCCTCTGATTGTACTGTATATAGTGCCATCCTTCTGAGATTTGGTCCTGTGATATGAACATGGAGTGAACCCAGAGGAAGCCAAAGTCATTTCTTTGGGGTTCACAATTGCTTTTGTTGATTATAAGTCCACCAAAGCTGTTTGTTTGACCATGATATTATATATTCTAGTGCTTTCATGCACAAGATATAAGAAACAAAGGAAGATCTATGCTTTCTCTACTGAAGTTTTAAATAGTTGACTTAGATGTCATTTTTACTTTATTATATAGGAAGCTTTGATGGCAGCTGAGATCAGTCAGAAAACTATTAAAAAGCACAAGATTCAGGTAAGTCTACAAACTTGGCTTTTGAAATTTAAACGCTTCAGATACGTCAGAGTATAATAAACAGTGTCTATAGGCTGAACTAGATTAAACATACATCTCCCAAGTTTCTAGTTTCCCATCTTTCTCTTAAATATTGAATACTTCTAAACTTGTGACACGGTATTAGTGTTTTGAGTTTCCCTTCTTTTTGCCAGCAGTAGCCAATGATCTGAAATGGATGTGGGAAAATGCATAATAGCATAGCATCATGATGTGGGTAAAAGTACCAAATGTTACAACATACAATAAAGTAAAAAAAAAAAAAAAACCAAGCACATAAGTAGCAGGAACATACTTTAGCATCCCATCTGCTTTGGCCCAACCGAGAATAATAATCATTGCCCAAGCAGCCTTATGTGATTTACTTAATACATGCAATCTACTCAATTCATGATGCTAATATAAAGAACTCCCAGTTGCATTTGAACTAGTGTTTGTTTATTCTTAGCTGTGGCAAGCATATTTCAGTCTCTAATTTCATAAAGTCATAGAAGATACTGTTTCTGAACATGCACAATCCATATCTCTCACCACTAAATACTCTCCATTAGCTCTGCCCATGAAATAAGATGTAAACATATTAGACAGGTTATTGCTTCAAGGAAGTTTTGAGCCATGGAATGTTTCTTTTACAAACTGATTACAGGGAACCACATAACTACACTATTCTCTCTTTTTAATGACTATCCAGCTGTACTTCTTGATTTTCATTTGCTGGCATAAAAATAATAACAACAACAACAACTCAATAAACTTATATGCCACCTGGCTCTCAATGACTCTGGACAGCTCACAACTGTTAAAGAAATTACAATAAAATCAATAAACGATAAAGGATGGCTTGGTTTGAATATAACAATAAACAATCACCACATGGAGAATGGAAGTAGCTTTGGCTGCTATTCTTTGATGAAGGAACTTGGAAGAGGGCCTCATTAGATGATCTTAAAGTCCAGGTAGGTACATATGGGAGAAGGCACTCCGTCAGGTAACTTGGTCCTAAGACCAAGTGCTTTAAATCAAAATCAGCACTTTCAGTTGGGTCCAGAAATGGACCAGCAGCCAGTGGAGGTGGTGAAGAACTGGAATAATATGTTTGTATCAGCCAGTCCCAGTAAGCAGTCTGATTGCTCTATTCTGAACTAACTGACGTTTATGGACCATTTTCAAAGGCAGCCTCATGTACAATGTAGTGCAATAATCTATCTGGGAAGTAACCAGAGCATGAATAACTGTTACAAGGTTATCTCTGTCCAGGTAAGATCACAGTTGATAAATCAGCTGAAGCTGATAAAAGGCACTCATGTGCCACTGAAGCCCCTTGGATCTCTAGTGACAGTGATGGATCTAGGACATTCTCCTGTATGTACCTACTTGGACTTTAACCCCCAAACTGTGAACCTGCTCCTTTAGGGCGAGCACAGACCTCTCCAGAGCATCTCCCAGATGGACAGGTGGACCACCCACAAATAATATGTTTGTCTTGCCTGGATTGAATCTCAATTTATTGGCCCTCATCCAGTTCATTACCCAACTCAAGCACATCAATCGCCTTACCTGTGTTAGATGAAAAGGAGAGATGGAATTCAGTGTCATCCACATATTGATGGTACCTCAGCCCACATCCCTGGGTGTCCTCTCCCAGCAGTTTCATGCAGATGTTAAAGAGCATAGGGGATAAATTGGACCCTTGAAGGACTCCATTACCCAACCACCATGAGGCATTAGAATATTCCCCCAGCACCACATTCTGGAAATGGGCATCCAAGTAGGAGTGGGACCACCATAGCACTGTGCCCCCTCATCCCAACTCTGACAGTCTGTCCAAGAGAATACCATGGTCAATGGTATAGAAAACCACTGAGAGAGCCAGAACCAAGGCAGTTGTACTCCCCCTGTCTTTTTCCTGGCATAGATAATTCTATGGGGCAAACAAAGCAGTTTCAGTTCCATAGCCAGCCTGAAACCAGATTGAAATGAATCTAGAAAATCAGTTTCATCCATAGATCCTGGAGCTGACTGGCCACCACCTGCTCAAGCACCTTCCCTAGGAAGGAAATGTTGGTTACTGGTCTATAGTTGTTTTCATCCTCTGGGCTCAGATTTGTATCCAGATAAGAAGAGACTTAGAATAAGATTATCAGAGGGCTAAAGAGTAAAGGACATACATAGTTGGCCAGGCACCAATGAGTAGAGTTGTAGCCTAGAAATAAGAATTATTGAAGTATGGATTTTTCAGGTATCCTTGGATCATGATCTTGCTGAATGTTGATCTTGCTGAATGTTGATCATGCTTATTGTTACAATTATGCATAACAATAACTTTGTATGCTGAGATTATGGTAGAATAAAAGAGTGCAAAAATCATTATACTCTTCAGAGGTGGGATTAAGGGATGCACACAAGTGGTATATGGTACTAACATCTTTCTCAGCCCAGCTGCAATAATCTGTAGTATTTCTTCTGATTCAATAGGATCAAAAGAGCAAAGCTATTTTAATGCTATAACTGTTCTTGAAGCCATCAAGATACTAATCCATAATATACTCCCAAGACTGATATAAAGTTTTTTCTGCTTAATTTGTATTTTCTTTTGAACAGGCAAATGGTCCTCACAGAGCTTTTTATTGAAGCAAGCACAGGAATAGAGATACAGTACTTCAAACAAAAATGTAGAAATCTTACACCCCCACCCCATTCTCAGCAAAACATATTTCAGATTTCCTAACACCTACTGGGAGGCAGTGTTTTGGGAACAAAAACATTTTTCAAAGCATGTTATAAAGTTGTCAGTTGAAAACCAGTAAAGCAATATTTACTTACAGAAAGAATAATGGTAGTTAGTTCAATATAGCCTGAAGTGATTGAAGCAAAATACTTTGAACTTATCAGACAGGAAAACAGAATTCATGCAAGCATGAAAATAATGCGTTTTATATATGCAGGAATGATGGCATGTTTAATCCTTTGTAATAATGCCTTGCTTCTCTGTGATACTTTTCCTTCTTCTCAGAACCATCTTGCCAACATAGAAGCTCTCTCAGAGCTGAAAGAGAGGAGAAGATAATAAGCTATGTGTAGAGAACTTGGAACCTTTCACTTGGAAAGACCCTTCCCAAATGCTGATTTTCCTCTAAGAAATATATAGGAGAATAAATTTTTGCTTATTATGCTTGAATGAAAATTAGTATTTTTGGCCACACTCCATTGTCATCTCCACATATGGTAGAGGAGTGATATTGGCCCAATCCCAGTCATCATTTTCATTTGTCCCTATCTGAAAATATGACTTTAGATGTCTGTTATATTTAAAAAGAGTATTGATCCTTTTTCTCTCATAAAAATCTAACGTGTTTAAGGCTGAATAAGAAGATAGATATCTCATTTATTGTCTAGAAATTGACCGAACAATTTGACCCTGTGTTACTTTTTGTGTCTTCATGTATTATATGCAGATAACAGATTAAGAGTATTGAAGGGGCACAGTTGAATAGATGGAGACCATGGTCTTTTTCTGTTACCATTTGTAGGAATGGTCAAACAACATATCACCCAATCTGAACCCATTGCTTGTTTGTTTTTTTAACTATTTTAACAGTTCTTTTTGCCAAGTATTTTTGCTAATATTCAAAGTTGTGTACTGTCAGGGATAAACTAAATCCTTATGTTTAACAAACAAGTTACTTGACTACAAAGTTCAGCACTTAATTACTGAGGGCTGTGTTTGACTTCTAATTAATTTTAACTAATTTTGTTTTTATTTTAGGATATAGGTTTAGCATATATAAACCATCTATTAGAAATTGGAGATTATGACCTGGCAGCAAGGTAATCTTTTTAGTTTATTTTTGTGCACATATAAATAACTTGTCACTCTACATCCTTCTTGTGTATACAGGTGACACAGATTTCTGGTAAAATACTACACAAATTAATATATTGCATGAACTATTTGTTATGACAGATTTAACACTGCTGATGTCGATGACAACAACTGAGTAGGAATATGCATAAAACAAGAATATATTTTGTTCTGATTGAGAACAAACAGCCTCACTTGGAACTTGCAGTTAAAAAGATATTGAGTGGGTTGTATTCTGGTGGTACAAAACTTGAAACCTTTCAAGTGTTCCACTGTAGGGAATAATGGAAACTTAAATCTTATTTTTTAACCTAGGGACTCAAAAATGGGTAGCTTATTAATCCATAAAATATCTACTACCTTACTTATAGAAGAATTGGCCAGGATGATTACTTAATTCTTTTTTAACTGTTCTCCTGGCAAACAATATGAGTAATAGTTAAGCATGATTTTTTTTTTCAGCTTCTGATTGTATAGACGGAAACATTTACAGAACTGAGCTTAACAAAAACATGGACACAAGTTGATTCCCTTCAACACAGTCCGTGAAATTAACAGCAAAAATACACATCTACAGCTACTGTTTTGAGGCTTCTTTCTAATGCACATTGTACCTTCTTCCATTTGCTAATCTGTCTATAAAGCTTAATAGACAAAATTTTTGCATTTGACAACCAAAAGCCCAACATTAGCTCAACATGACTTATCTGTTAATTACCTAACAAGTGCACACTTTTACATTTGGCAACTTGTGCAACATACAAAAAGCAGTATTACCAATGAACTCTTAACTTTCCCATGCAGCAGTAATTAAACAGCAATAAAAGTTACCTATCTACTTACGTCCAAAATAATCATAAATCGCTGAGCATGTGCTTAACTGAGACTCCCTCATCTCCACTCCCTCCTCTGCTTGACTAGTAATGGCAAGGAAGGACCTGTATGCGCTCTTTTATTGGCTAATACACCCCAAGTTAGGAAGACTATTTGAAAAGCCAACTAATCAGAAGAATTATGCTTAGCATGGGACAAATATCTGAAACATGGAGCAATTCCCATGAGCTCAGAGTTCTCAAATCAGCTGTTCTGAGTTTGAACATTTTGCACACAGCTGTAACTATGCACATGGCCATCATGTTGAAGGGCCTGGTTGTTTTTCCTTTGGTGATTCTGAGTGTTTCATGTGCTCTAGCAAGCCAAAATAAATCTATCTATATTTTGGATAAAGAGATTTGAATTGTGGTTGCTGAATTTCTGCTTTGATGAGTGACCTTAAGCAGATTAAAAAGTAATAATAATGCCTTTCAAATTATTGCTATGTTATTTCACAAATGATGGGGTATGCAAGGAAAATTCTTTAACATTGAAAATATGATTTATGAACTCTTCACTTTTTATATGTTATTTTTTCTCTTCAGAAAATGCCAGAAGATACTTGGCAAGAACACCAGTTTATGGGAATGTGAAGTATATAGATTTAAAGAAATTGGGCAACTTAAGGTTTGTACGACTGAAAACACTTCCTTGTCCTATGTAGAAGTTAATAAATCATGTTGGTATTATGCCTTTACAACCTTTCCGAAAAGGTAGGCATATTCAAGATTTGCTCCACTTGTTTTCTGAGGCATACGGTTTCCTAGAGTAGGTCTGTCTTCATCCGTTAGTGTCATATGTTAGGTTCTCCATGTGGGGTTGAGTGCATGTGGATGTGCTTCTATGTTTCTCTCCATGATGCACACTGGGGTAATTTTGTTAACTGAATCTCAAGAAATAGCATTACATATCCTTAGATCCAAAAATTAAACAGGTTGATGTTCATGGCCTGATAAAAAGTTGAAACTTGCTGTTAGCCATTTTTGAAGCATGAAATTTAACAAAATATAGTATTCTGGTTCCTTGTACATATTTTTACATGTCAGAGGGGGCAGCTGAAGTATATCCACCTAGAGTCTGTCAGTTCTCTTTCATACTTCAGAGAGTTGTAACCTTTCAAGAAAACCTTTAATGTCTTTAAAAGCACAGTAGGTCCCTATGATCTCATGGCTCAAGAGGTTGTAGCAGTGATTCATTAACAAAATGTTCAGGTACTAACTGTGTTTTAGTGTAACAGATTATGGTCCTGTTGTGTACTGCAGAAGACCAGCAAGAGTAGAAAGAATTCATCTACTTGGATTACTGGCAGAGCAGATCAGGAACTTTAAAGGGGCATATTTGTTAGCAAGCATCAAAGTTAATAGATTGCCCATGGCATATTGCTAAAAGGCTGTTACTTCTCAGACAGTAGAAAGCATTTATGAACATGTGTATTGATTACATATCCATATTCTCTCTACAAGTTTTATGTCTTCCTATTCAAACTCAATGAACCAAAAGGAGCATATTATTAAGATCTCACAGCAGGTGGTCCCTTGCCACCTTTTGAGCTGTTAAATTCTGTTCAGGACTGTGAAAGTATTGCAACACTGCAGTTTTTCTCATAGCAGCTGCCTTCTTACAGAATTAAAGATAGATGGCAAGGCAACCACACTATTTATCGGGGGAGGGCAGGTTAGCAAGCAGGCATTTTGCCAGATTAGAAGATAGCCTCTCAGGTTTGTGTGGCTTCCTCTATTTCACTCCATCCTAAAAGATGTATGGTTAAATGGGTGATGTACTGTTTCTGCCGCCACCACTCCCTTCTGGGTTTATTTTCAGCCTGGATATAAGCATCTCAAACAAATGTCTCCACTTATGCTATCCAGCAGACTTTTAAATTTAGAAAGTCTTTGTAGATTTTCTAAAAAGCCTGTCTTTGAAATTACTGCCTTTCTAAACTATTGATTGTTTTTACTTTTCTGGATGCTATATAATAAGGTTACTTGGTTGCAACTATAATGTCAATATAAAGTACTGTTAACTCCTCTTACAACCTTTCTAGATATTTGATATACTCTGATACTAGGACTTATTATATAGAGGCAGCCAGAATTATCAGAGCTTCACAATATTACTATAACTCATGTTTATTTAGTATAATTACATAATCTAAGATTTTGTAGGGATTATTCCTATTCCCTCTTCTGCCTTTTTGACCTAACCCACATACTTCTGACTTGCCTGCATTAAATTTCAGTTTGCTCGCATCATCTAATCCATTATTGGGTTGCTGGAATAGAACTTGAACAGCTTTCTAGTAAAACAGTGTCATCAGACCCAGATGTATACATCATTCACATGCAGAATTTGAGGTGCACTGCACAGAACTCAGACCATCAAGTGCTTAATGCCTGTTTCTGTTCACTCTGTCCTAGAGAGGCAAAAAACTCCTTGTCCTCATCCTTCTGATAGGTCATCATGAATTGTTGGTGGGGTCCCTTTTGCTTCAAAAATTCCAAGTTGTACTCACCTGTTGATTGGTTATATAGACATTAAGCAAACCACTGAATTTCTTGATTTACAATAATCCACTTCCAGCATCATTGCATCCTTTTGTAAACGCTATATCTGTTTAACTGTTTTATGTATCCTTTAACTAGCTAGATAAATTTTATTGTACAGCTCTTTCAAAATTTCCTTTTTATAAGAATTTTATTAATTTTCAAACAAGAATAAAATACAGAAAAACATCAAAAGAAAAATAGAAAAGGAAGAAATAGATAAAGAAGTGTGAGGAAGAAAAGGAAAAAAAGGAGGAAGAAAAAGAAAAAAAATAAGAAAACAACTTCCGACTTTCTTCAGTACAATTATAAGTAAAATAATACATTAACTTCTTACTCTAGTAATAGCAATAAAACACAATGTTTTTATAGCAAAAACAGTTCTAGATATCAAATCTCAAAGTCAAAATTTCATTTCTTTCAGTTACAAGCAAAAATCGCAAGAGTAATTTCTAAATAGAAACAAAGTTAAAGAAATTTATCCAGACATGTTATCCCAAGGTCCTTACCAACATTTGAAATATCATTTTTATCAAAAAATTTGATAAAATCCATAAACATTATCATACAATCCCAATCCAAAAATAAATTCCAGTATTACCAATCCAAAATATAACTTGTACATTTTAACCTTGGT